TGTCTCCAGGGCTCCTGATTCTTATCTCACTGGGCTTTTCTCAATTTCTACAGTTGAGCTCATCACTGGACCCATTCCCTGAGTGGAATTCAAATCCAAATAGGACTGTACATTCACCAAGGTAAGCAATGAAAATCCACAGAGAAAACCCAATTCTGAAAACAAAGTGCATCCTCTTTCACGGTATCCTAGTCTTAGACTTAACCTAATCTTAAGATGGACTTAACCTAGTCACCATGGGATGACAAATGGTCATGTTTTTATAGACCAATAAAGTTTACAAAGCATTTTCCTCACAACCATCCAGTGAGAGAGGTAATCCTTTACTTAACTATTCTCAGTTTACAGATGTGGGAACTGAGGCTGATTAAGATGAAGTGGCCTGAGTAGGACTATTCATGGAACTATACCATAAAAGTTCCCTAGAATTGGAATGGAGGTTGGGAGTCACCTTTCTACTCAGACACCTCATAGACTCACAGAACCTTTTTTCCTAGGGCACAAGGCCCGACTAGGGGAATCCTACGTACAAAGAAAGACATCTTCTCTATAGCAACAGTTATTGCTAAAGATTTAAAGCAAGCATCAGCCCAAAGGTATGTTAATTAAAGACTTGGCACATAACTAGGGGAATGACTCCTAGCTTCCTCAGTAAATTAAAAGAGCCAAGGATTAGCAGACCCTCTGGTTCAGGAACTCATTGACCTCTCTTGCCACTTTCCATCACTGGAACAGTTTTGTACTCTTGTCGGCCATATCGGCCCACTTTCCCCCACCCCCATTTTTCCAGATGTTAAACAGCTGCTCCCTAAACTCATAGACTCGTTGACTAAGCGTTCAGGGCTGCCAAGCAAATGATACTGGCACAACTGTTGTCAAATTTTACAGGTCCTACTGAGGCCACTGGTTACATGTGAGACTCTGGTTTCTTCTAAAGAAAATTATTTACAGTCTGACTAACAGGCTTTTCATCTGGCTCAGTATGAGCTGTGCTGATACCTAATCAGTTTCTCTCTCTTGTCGTTGGCACTTGACTCCCTTACTTTCTGTACCGTCTTCTGACTTTTTATGTCCCCCTCTCATTTTCTGTCTCTCTCCTCCATACCTCTTCATCATCTCTTTACTCCTCTAGCTCCCACTGTCCCTTCCAAGTTGGTATCTCTCTCCCTCTTTTTTGTGATCCAAATCCCTTTTCTGCATCCTTCGTCCCACCTTCTTCTGTCCTTCCCCCTCCTTGTATGAGTCTCTTTCCCTTTTCTTACATCCCTCTGCTTCTCCCCCTTCTGTAACGCTCTTCTCTATTTCTGTCCCACTTGCCTCTCCCTTTTCTTCATTCTTCTCCTCATTTTGGGTGTCCCCTCTATATATTCCTAGATGTCCAGGACCTTGTGTTACCTCTTGGGCTGTGACCCTGGTCAAATCACTTAATCTCTCCAAGACTCAGTTTCTTCATATGTAAAACAAAGGAGTTGGATTTAATGACCTCTGAAGACTTTTACAATTTTACCTAAATGCATAAAACTGTGATCACTTCTTTTTGCAGTCAAAGGACCTGGATTTAGGCCTTGACTCTGCTAGTTCCTTACTTGCACGACCTCTGGTTTTCTTTAAACTATCAGATGTCTGTTTAACTATAGGATCATGAAACTATACAGATTGAGATCTGGAAAGGACCTTAGAGGCCACAGAGTCCATTCTCTTTATTTCACAGATGAGGAAACTGAGGCACAGAGAGGTTAGGTGACATGCCCAGAATCTCATAGTGTCTGAGGGGAGATTTGAATCCAGGTTTTCCTAATTTCCTAACTCACTACTTTTCTATTTGTAAAATTAAAAGATTATACTAGATATCATTTAAGATTCCTTCAAGTTCTCAGTCCTGTGATTTCTCACTGACAAAACTCACACTGCCTTGGTGTAGCTGATCTCAGTACAAGAAGAAAAACAATGTGATTGAACTAATAAACACTGAAGTACTAGTGGTCTTAATCTACATTTACAATTTAAGAAGAGAAGGCTTAATTCAAATGAATTGTTAATTGGAAGAATTCTAGATGGGATGATAAAAGACAAAAATTTTAGGCAAGGTCAAATAAACATTTGTTAGGTAAATTGGTAATCTTTTTAGCTTAATTATAAGGGGAAGGAGATAGTCTATCTTCATTTTGCCAAGTAAGGCTACTCAGATGTTTATTTAAAGGTTCTGTTCAATTCCCTTGTTTATATCAAGGATTTCCAGAGATTTATGAGGTCACATCAAAGAAATGGTCTCAAATCCTGTCCTTTCCTCTTTATTTCCTGTGATCATTTCCCCTTTAGTTTGTGTTTGCCCTTTTTAGTGGCCAATTCTTCATGTAACTGCTGTGGCTCACTTCATGACTAGATAGATACACAAATTTCTGCCTTGAGAAGAAAAGGTTAACTGAACAACCAAGTCCCTCAGTGGGATTGGATCCATTTAATTACTTAATGTATACTGAAACTGCCAATAATAGCTAGTATTTTTTTTGGTTATCTATGTACAATCATGTTAAACATATTTCCACATCAGTCATATTGTGAAAGTAGAATCAGAACAAAAGGGAAAAACCAGGAGAAAGAAAAAACAAAAAACATGAAAAGTGAAAATAGTATGTTTCAATCTGCATTCCGATTCATAGTTCTTTCTCTGTATATGCTTAGCATTTTCCATCATGAGTCTTTTGGAATTGTCTTGGATCATTGTGTTGCTGAGAAGAGCTAAGTCTATCATAGTTGATCACTGCACAATGTCATTGTTGCTATGCACAATGCTCTCTTGGTTCTGTCACTTCACTCAGCATCAGTTTATGTAAGTCTTTTCTGAAATCTACCGGCTCATCATTTCTTATAGCATAATAGTATTCCATTACATTCATATACCGCAACTTGTTTAGCCATTCCCCAATCGATGGGTATCCTCTCAATTTCTAATTCTTTGCCACCACAAAAAGAGCTGCTATAAATATTTTTGAACATGTGGATCCTTTTCCCTTTTTATGATCTCTTTGGGTTACAGATCTAGTAGGGGTGTTACTGGGTCAATGGGTACGCATGGTTTGGTTGACCTTTGGGCACAGTTCCAAATTGCTCTCCAGAATGGTTGGATCAGTTTGCAACTCCACCAAGAATGCATTAGAGTTCCAATTTTCCCACATCTTCTCCAATAGCTGGTATTTATGTAACGCTTCAAGGTTTGCAAAATGCTTTACGAATATTACCTCATTTTATCCCAATGAGATCTCTGTAAGAAGAGGATTCTTTTCCTAAGTAGCAGGAACACTTATATTAAATATAATGTATAGTAACCTTTTCTGCTTTCATGTTAAAAGTTAATAGCTTTCTTTGAATAGATTATAACATGTAATCTCTTGGCCAGTCTAGAAAACAGGGGTTTCTTAACCTTTTTGGTGTCCTAGGTTCCTTTGGCAGTATGGGGGACTCCTCAGAATAATATTTTATTTCAAAAAATACACAGGATTACATAGGAAACCAATTATAATGAAAAACCATTATCAAAATCTATATGTGTGTGCATAAATGTGTATGCATATGCACGTGCATGTGCACGTGCATGTTTAAAGCTCCTGGATCCCTGGTCAAGAAACTCTGTAAAAAGTTCAACAGGATTTGTTTGCTTGGTTTTTTTTCACCTTTTGTAATTTTTGCAAGAAATCTTACAGGTTTTGTACCCTAATGTCATTCTTGGGACAAGTAGAAGCACCTCCGAATTTAACCTCTGAATTTAAAATCTCTCATGTGGTTAGCATAACCTCTGAATTTGAAAAGGCAATGCAAATAATGGGGACAATTTTACACAGATTACATTATACTGTGCCCCACAGCACAATCTGCTGGCAAAGGACAGAGCTTAGTCCTGGAGCGTCTGGTTACATGAAGCATATAGTCTGCCTGTTTCTATTTCCATCTCTCTCATTCATTCTTCACTCCAAGTCAACAAGCATTTATTTATTAAGCACTTATCATGTGCCAAGCTCTGTGAGAAGCTAATACCACTGCCCCAGAATCTTCTTGGCACTGCTGTGATCATGCTCTACCTCTACTCTGCAATACTGAGTGGGTTCCTCCTTGTCTACTGAAGAAAGTTTAAACACTTGTCTTGGACATTCAAGGCCTTCTACAATATGGCTCCAAATTACCTGTCCAGCCTTATCTCACATTTCTCCCCTTCACTTATTCTACACTGTAACCACATTCTGCTAGTTGCTGTCCATTCTTCTCATACTGCCCTCTCCTGTCTCTGGGCCTCACACTTTGAATAGATATTTTCCCTTCCCCCACTTATTTTTTTTTTTGCTCTTTATTTTCTTTTTAATTTTCTGAAGGATATTATACTACAAATCCCATTAGCAGCGAAGGGCATTCAATGTGTTTTATAAGACAAACAGTCACTTCGTTTAAGCAAACACAATTACAAAGTAAAATCAAAACCACAAAATAAATAATGAACTGTATGATGAAGTCTCCTTCTTCCTTCAAAGGCCAACTCAAATACTACCTTCTCCATGAAATCTTCCCTGATACCTCTTTTTACCCAAGATGAAACTGATCTTGCTCTTCAAATTACTCATAGCACTTTTTGTGGAGTTTTCCTGTGCTCTTAATCTCATTCTTTTTTTTTTCATCAGTTGGTTCTGTACTTGTCCTTACTTTTATTAGACTATAATGTCATTATGAGTAGGAACTATATCATCTTTGCATTTTCCCCTACTTAGTGCCGAGCATAGGGTCTTATAAACAGTACATACAATTAAGGAAAGAAAAAGAAAGGAGAAGGAGTGAGAGAGGAAGGGGAAGGGATAAAGAGAAAGAAAGGAGCAGGAAGAAATGAGAAGGCAGAGGAAGAAATGGGAAGGAAATTTAAAGACACAGGAAATCTGGGGAAGCCCTTAGTGGCAGCCAAGATAGGAATGACAAGAAATGAGGTCCCCGCATCCCTGCTTTCATCATAGGTCACTTACAATATTCATGAGGGTGAGAAGGTACTTCTGGACGTGTTCCTTCCCATGAAACTGAACCACAGAGTCATCAACACCCAGGAGAACCTCAATGTTGTAGTCATCATCGGTGGCATGCCTTCGAGACCGTCTCCTGGAGCCATTGATTCGGTCTTCAACAAGGCCAAGCATACTGCTGAGGTTATCCAGGCCTCTCAGGTCTGCCCCTGGAGTTAAAAACAAACACAGATCATCAACAGGGGCCACGCTATGGGGCAAGGTGGAGACTGACTGGGTAGTTCACTAAAATTATCCAGTCAAGAAACCCAGAAGCTTTCTAAACTGGAAGCTATTCCTTGGTGATGCAGAGGACATCTGAAAAAATAAGCTGAAAACATCTGTGGATTTTGGCATCCTCCCATACGGAGATTTTTAAACAGCTAATATTGCTGGCTTTGAAATTCCCTACTTAAGCTTTTGCCTATTTCTAACTGTACATACCAGGACTGTGGCCTAGTGTGTACAGTCAGAAGTGGAGACAACACCCATAGTCATGGTCAAAAGTGGCTAGGTAATACCTGCTGCTGATGAACCAAAAAGATAGCTAAAAATAGAAAATATTCTCCCACTGTGAACATGGTGGAGTGGTGGAAAGGGGAGCAAGGATTCAAGAATAACAAAATTCTTACACGGTCAAGCAACATTAATTTAGCTGTTGGTTCTTTTAATATTTTTTCTTCGTCCGTTAACTAACAAGTTAATACACTACTAAAGGAATCAGATCACATCTGTACTGGTATATTTCGTTAGAAATTAAAATCAAAGAAATCAAGCTAAGTGGAAGGACAGTATACAAGTTCTCAAAGGAGCTAAAAAAGATGCTGATTGTGTTTGTTTCATCATACAACATAATGATAACAAGAAATATCTTTTTATGGGGGTATGTGAACATCTCGCCTTACCAGTACTATGCTAAAGAGCAAACAAAACAGAGTTCCATGAAGTATCTCATGAGGCAGTATTTCTTGTGAAGGATGGACAAGTGGAGAAATTCTCTGAAGAATTTGAAAAGAACCTCCAAAAGAAGTCAACACATACCTTAATATTAGGTAATTTTGGTGTGTAAATGGGCATGGAGAAGTCAGAAAGAAAGAAGGAAGGAAGGTTGAAAAATATAGTTTGGGATCAAGATATGAAAGAGACCAAAAACTCTTAGACAACTTAGAAAATGAATGTCATGTGTATCATTGATACTTTAAAGAAGTGAGTTGGAAGGCATCAAACAACATCATAAACAATGTAATTAGGAGTCAAGAAATATCTGGTTATCAACATGGAAGCTATTTCAGAATTAGTTCTTCATGTGCCAATAAACCATTCAGAAGTTAGAATTAAGGTCAAAGTAAATACCAAGTTAGAAGGAAGGCTAAAGATGAAAAGACATTGTGGCAATTACAAGGGTTGCAAATTGATCTTTTAAAGCAAATTGTTGGCTCAAAAGGGAGGAAATTAAAAAAAAACTATTACTATTTCTTAGAAAAGTTTAACAGATGCAAAATAGTCACCATAAGAGGGAGGCAAAAAGAGTCCATAAACTGCCTCAGCTATACCAGATTGCTTATTGTTTTAATCACTGCTCACAACTGTATATGAAATGAGATTATACAAACACCAACATGTGTTTCATTTCATGTCTATTCATTGTCCTCGACAAGTAGAGAGACATGACATTCATGGCAAACATTGGTATAGCATTTGAGCTCATTGAGCAAAACATTATTCAGGAAGATGAGGGAAGATAATTCGTAGTATCACCTCACAAAATAAAATCAGAGAAAATAAGTAGAGAACTCGGTGTGAAATCCAGTGAAATTACTCTGACATTCATAGATTCAACTGAAATTCAATAAATATTTATTAAGTATCCACTATGCTTAACTGTGCTAATAAAGACTATTATTAGACATTGTACTGGGAACACAAAGATGAAAAATGGCAATCCCTACCCTTCAGGTGCCTAGTTGCATTTGAGAGAGTGGGGGGGGGGTGGCATGAGGGAGTGGGGATGACACACAAAAATAATTATAATATAAATTAGGGAATTATTAAGTGCATAAGAAATATCCGATACAGTGGCCTGAGAGATTCAAGGAGGAAAGAAAGAAACATTTCTATTGGAAAGGGGCTGGGGGTGGAGGAATAATAACAGCTCTTCACATTGATATAGTATTTTTAAAGATTAGAAAACAATTCAGTCTTTTCAGAAGAAGTGGCATGTGAACTATGTCTTCGTTGGGGGAAGGAGATGTCAAAAGGCAAGAGTATAAACCAGACACAGAGGGCAGTGTGCCCTAAAAGTAAAAGGCAAAGATACAGAAGAAGGTGGTATGAAAAAGGGAAACGATGAGCAGTTGAATATGATCAGAACATAGAATCCATGAAGGGGAATAAGGCTATCCAGAAGCTAGCTAATGACTGAGATAGAATGGATTGTTCAACTGTCATTTAAAGGCACTGTGTCTAGAGGCTCAAAACTTAGAGGAGAGGGGTAAGGAAAGGTCAAGTGATAGAGAAAAATTACTCTGAAAAGGGAAAAATGTATTTTTGAGTGAGGACTGTAGATTCTTGGGGACTCTGAGGAGGTTTGGGGATCTGGGTATTCTGATAAACGTAACTGTGAAGCAGGGATCACATGGATGAAACTGGGAGTACAACAAATAGACATGGAATGGAACAGATAATTTAGTGCTCAAAAATGATATTTTCATCAGCAATGATGATGAAACCATCACATTTGGACCTCATATATTCTGTGATAGTAGTACATAAGACAATAAAGTTAGGAAGAATATCTGGACCTGACCAAATTCTTAGAGATGAAATTCATGCTGGGGATGACACAATTTGAAAGGCACTTGAGATTTATTTTGAAGACCTCTCAAAGAGAAGATACCAGAAGAATGGAAAAGATCAGATTGTGCTTTTATCAAACATAGGCATCAGCAACTACCTCCCAGTGTCTATTTATAAAATCTTTTATGGGAATGGTCTACTTATGCATTTATAGTATCCTTGATGAATACATGAAAAGATAATAGGCAAGCTTTTGCAGGTAATTTTCTACCTTCTTTCGGAGAGCTAATTGAGAGCTGTACAGAATACAAGATCCTACTCTATTGTTTGTTTTCTTTTTTAATTAGCATTTAATCCAGGGGAAGAAAATGAAGCCCTGAAGGTACTTTTTCAACAAGGAATCTCCTACACGTACTACTGCATAATACTTTGCAATGCTCTGCAATAGATATAATCACTGAGTTAATTTTGCTCAGTGACCCACTAAGAATTGGTATCAAAGGAGGTATAACATACTGACCTTAGATATGTGCTACTCTCATAGAAGATGACTTGCACAGAACTAAAACAAAAACATTTCCTATTAATGCTAAAGTTCTCAAGTTATTTTTGTTCACATATAACCTTACATTTGCTAATTTTGTTTAGACAGCCCTGGGATACTACAAAGCCTCAGTAAAATCCATAGTTATGTAAAAGAATCACACAATCCTAGAGTAGGAGGGGATTTCAGACGCCATATAATCAAATCTAATAAAAGCTAATCTAACTATCTACATTATACATGCAGCTGGATAGGAATATCAAGCTAGCACAAGGGCCTGTATCTTGGCCAGGATATTTAGATGGATGAAGGAGCTGAGCCTAGGATTAAATAGAATAATGTAAATTTGGGTCCCATTTGGGACACAAAGCACTTTCAGCGATCTACAATTGATCAATACCACTCATTTTTATAGCTTCAATTTTCTCCCAGTCCTGCTCTTTGGTTGCTTCAAATCACTGAGGCTCATAACCTTGGAAAAATAAAAATTATAAGCCATCCAAAAGGCAAGGGAAAAACACGTGGTAGATACAGGCAGGTCATAGTATATTGCCAATAGCGACTTGTTTATGAAAAGTGATGTAAAAGACATCATTGAGGTCATACGTGAGTAGAAAAGCAAAGAGACTAATTTAGAAACAGTGCCACGTAGTCCATAGAGTACTAGTCTTGGAGGCAGAAGAACTGGGCACAAAAGCCATCTCTGACCCACACATTTATACTTGGACACATATACTGTGCATATAAAGTTTATAACCAATAAGAATTCATTAAGTGCCTACTCTATGTCAGACTGGGGCAGCTAGGCGGCACAGTGGATAGAGCACCAGGTCTGGAGTCAGGAACACCTGAATTCAAATCTGTCCTCAGACGCTCACTACTTGTGGGACCCTTGGGCAAGTTACTTAATCCTGTTTGTCTCAGTTTCCTTATCTGTAAAATGATCTAGAGAAGAAAACGGCAAACTATTCCAGTATCTTTGCCAAGAAAACCCCAAACAGGGTCACAAAGAGTCAAGACACGACTGAAACAACTGAACAATAACAACAATATGTCAAGCATTATGCTAAATCCTGGAGCAATACAGACAAAAATGAAATAGTTCGGGGCAGCAAGGTGGCACAGTGGATAGAGTACCGGCCCTGAAGTCAGGAGGACCTGAGTTCAAATCTGGCCTGAGACCAAACACTTGACACTTACTAGCCATGTGACCCTGGGCAAGTCACTTAACCCTAACTGCCTAAAAATTAAAAATTAAAAAATTAAAAATTAAAAAAAATTAAAAAATGAAATAGTTCCTGCCTTCAAGATGCTTACATTCTATCACAGGAAATAGTATCTACATACATAAAATATATGCATAAATAAACATAACAGGCATTTGGCCCATGACCATCTAAGATGGTGGCACCCAAATGGGAAATGCTAGAGATCTACTTCTCTTTTTTGTTTTTGTTTTTGTTTTTTGGTGAGGTAAGTGGGGTTAAGTGACTTGCCCAGAGTCACACACCTAGTGAGTGTTGTGTGTCTGAGGCCAATGCTGGTGCTATATCCACTGTGCCACCTAGCTGCCCCTAGGGACCTACTTCTGAAAGACATGAAGACTGGTTCAGGCATGAATAGTTGGATATTCTGCATTAGCCTGCCAGCTCTGTAGCCAGAAAGGTGTCCATCTTTAAATCTACCTGCCTAAGGCACAGGCCTGTTTCTTTTCCTGAATCATCCAGGGATAAAGGACCATTACTCACAGCACGGACATCATGAAATAAGCTGGGGAAAGTCCCAAGGGCCACCTTTCCCTCCCCTGAGGCCCAAAGAAACAGGTTTGAG